CCCACGGGGGGGGGGGGGAGTGAATGAGCGGCTGCGTGGTGCTTAGTTGCTGGCTGGGGTTAAACCATGACACTTGCACAGCACCTGTGGTCATGCTTCAGACTGCTGCATTTACCTCACAATCTCTTGATGGGAAGAAAACTTCTGTATTTCTTTTGTAAATGAAGAATTGAAGTACACAGATTTGATTGATCCTGGGTCATAAAGTGAATCTGCAGCAGAGCAGAGAACTGAGCAAAGCTCTCCATCACCTCAGTACAGTACCATAATCACGGGAATCTCAGGAGGGGTTTGTTATACATATATATATATATATATATATATATAAACTTACAGGTAAGTTGGATATAAGCAACTCTATACTGAGAGCTTAAATGCCTCTAGTGACTAGATAGGGGTCAACATTTCTTGCAGCAGCAGAAATAAATTAGACAGCTCTCCTCTGGATCTTTGTCGCTAACCCATAATGTCATCTCAGATGAGCTTGTTCCATTGTTTCTGGTAAGGGATGATGAGCCAGATGAAAAAAACAAGAAGAAACAAAAACTGCTGCTGCGGTGGGAGGAGCATTATTATTTTTAGTGATGATCACTTCTTCAGAACTACTCACCACAAGGCCCCACAAGGAATGGCACTAGCACAGCCAGGGAGGCAGGATGGAGTCAGGAAGGAGCCATGGAGGATGGGGAAGGACAGGGGATGCTAAGGCCAACACTGCTGTTAAAAGAAATAGCGCTGAACCAAACTCTTGAAATAGTTTCAACCTTTTGCTTGGAAGAGAGGAAGTTTTCCAGAAATCCAGGACTACTCTGACAAATTTGAACAATTCCTCTTTATTTCAAAAGTTTTAAGAATCAGACAGTTGCTACTCTTGGGACTCCTTTGCAAAGTCCTGTTCCTGACAACATTTCCCATAGTGCATGCTAACTCCCAGTGTGATGAGTGTGAAGTGAACACTTCCACTGAGGTGTTCTGAGGGATGGGGTTTAATTTGTCCAGCTCTGTTTGTAGCTAAGCCACACAGCATCATATTAGGTCAGATCTCCTAGATAACAGCCTTTCCCTCTGGAAACTATGATCCTAGCCACCTTTATTATGTGCTTACACTTGTAGTACACTCAAATGAAAGAATCTTCCTTTTGTGGAGTGGTCCCAAAAGGCTTCATACAGCACAGTAGCTGCCTGGAGCAAGCAATGAAAAAATATTAGGTACAAGAGTGTGTTTGAGCTCCTTCTCTTCTGGAGAATTGCCATTTCTCACATTACAGCTGAAGAGAGGAAAGGAGCCAGAAGGAAAATACACCTTCAGAATTCTCGCTTTGCTCCTCCTACTGGCAAGAGATGTGGTAGAGACCAAAAAAAAAAAAAAAAAAAAAAAAAAATTAAAAAGGGGGGAAGGAAATTAATGGGGGATCAGGCTTTCTCAGACTGCTAAGCACAGTGATCTATGAGGAAGCCTTTAGCTTTGGAAGTCCATAGGGCACTGCTTGCTGATAGCTGAGAGAGCACATAGGTAAAGGCTTGCTCAGTGTTTTCTCTCTCGTTATACTTTCTTCCTAAGCATCCAATTATGTTGTCATGGTTTAACCCCAGCCGCCAACTAAGCACCATGCAGCTGCTCATTCACTTCCCTCCTGGTGGGATGGGGGAGAGAATTGGAAAGGTAAAAGTGAGAAAACTTGTGGGTTGAGATAAGAACAGTTTAATAACTGAAATAAAATAATAACAATAACAATAATAAAATGTAATGAAAAGGAAAATAACAAAAGAGAGAGAAATAAAACCCAAGAAAAACAAGTGGTGCAAATGAAAAACAATTGCTCACCACCAACAGACTGATGCCCAGCCTGTTCCTGAGCAGCGGCCACCCGGCCAGCTTTCATCCTAGTTTATGTGCTGAGCATGACATCATATGGTCTGGAATATCCCTTGGGTCAGTTGGGATCAGCTGTCCTGGCTCTGTCCCCTCCCAGCTTCTTGTGCACCCCCAGCCTCCTCACTAGCAGGGCAGCATGAGAAGCTGAGAAATATTTGACTTAGTGTAAGCACTGCTCAGCAACTACTAAAACATCAGTGTGTTATCAACATTCTTCTCATCCTAAATCCAAAACATAGTACTATACCAGCTACTAGGAAGAAAATTAACTCTATCCCAACTGAAACCAGGGCAGATGTTAAAAGTTTTGGTCTGCTCAATAACAGAATGTCTTTTGGAATCAGTGCTGTCAGCTACATGATCAGATTCCTGTGGTAACATGAAGAGCTTGGACTGCAGTGAAGCTTGGACAGGAGGCAGTCACTTGTTTTCATAATATGGTGGCTTCTGAGCCATGTTTGGGAACCTGTGTTAAACATGTAGGGAGCTGTAAGGCTAACTGGGGAGGTACATGTAAATAAGCAGTGGTGGTGCTTAAGCTCAATGAACCACTATAATGGAAAGCAGTGACCCAGTCCTTCAATTCATGATGATAGTAGTTAAGCAGAGGTATATTAATTCCTGTGGGAGATCTCACCTTTTGATAGGGAAGAAACAACACAGGGAATTAATTCCTCATGTGAATACACAGCCTGAATAGTCTTCTAACTTAAGCAAGCTATCAACTTCTGCTTCAGTTTTGTCTTGGTTTTACATTAATGACATGGACAATCAGGCCTGCTTCTATCAAGTTCAGCGCAAACAAAATTCCCCCTATCCTTGAATCCAAAATGCCAGAACAGATTAGCAACCATTTTCAATTCAAGATCGAAAAACATGTCATTCTCTCTTCAAAATGGTGACACCTGCAGGGACTAACTTCAGAAAGCAGTCTCAGGGTTAGGTTGTAATCACCCAGCTGTTACACAGAAGAAAGTGGTGGACAGCTTATTTTAAATCCTTAGTCCTTTATATGTCAACCAAGGGTCAGAGCACTTAAGACAAACACAGGAGAGAGAACCTGCCTTCCTCGTGGTTGTAGAATTATATTCCACTGGAGACTGGACCTTAGATAAGCAGGGGATCTAAACAAAGGACACAACAGTGACTGTGTGATATTAGCTTCCACTACATCCCTGTGCCTGAGTTGATTAGAGAGTTGATTAAATCCTAGTCACTTCTTCAGCATCTGTAACAATGGTAGATAATCCTCATGGCTCAATGCAAATAAAATCATTGTTATCTTAAAGTAAGCTTGTAACTGCAAGACCCAAACAATATGCAGTTGGATTTCCTAATCAGGTGGCTAAAAATTACTAAATGAGATTGCAGAGATCTGCATGATTTAAGCAGTTACACTGTCTTTCTGCAGAGTGGGCATGGGATATTCTTCCTGTGTTTGCAGGCATGAACGGGACAGCTATTGGAAATTTTGTCTGTGTCATTTTTAATGTTTCCTTCATGAACTGCACTTGGGATGTGGGCAGCACTGCTTCAGGAGATAGCCAGTATTTCCTGTACTGGAAGAACTCATGGTAAGTAGGTCTGCTTGAATCTAGGGAATTTTGATTTCTGGTCTGACGTGTGACATTGCCAATATTTAACTGATGCAATATGTCATGTAAAGGAAAGAAGATTTCACAGAATGCCAGAATTACATCAGAGATAATTATGGAAGACACACAGGATGTAGATTCCAAAATGTGAAAATAGAAAACAAAGTAGCTCATTTCGTGGTAAATGCGTCTAGAAATGGACAAAACATTCAGCTACATGAGGACTTTATTAAGCTGTACAAAATTGGTAAGGTTTTGGGTTTGTTTGTTTGTTGGTTTTTTTTTTTAATTTATTTCCAGTTTTATACTAAGGGAATGAAGAAATCATCCCTGGCAAAAAGCATACATTTTTAAAATACTGCTCCTTAGAACAGGTTTCTTTTTGCTTTTCCCCAGCCTCAATGGCTGAAAAGTCAAAAGTATAAGAATGAACAAAAATGAATGAATGCATAGGTCAGAGAATTGTGAACATTTCAGTCAAATATTTATTCTCTGAAAGAAAGGTATCATCTTTTGGGATTAACTAGCTAAGGATGCCTGAGCAGGACTATCTACATGTTGGTCTTATATCTGTGAGCAAAAACTTTCATTTTTTTAATGAAAGAATGTTGCTAATAAAAAAAAAAAGATAATAAATTACTTCTGTTTAATATGAACACAGTATAAAAAAAAAAAAAACCTGCACAGATTATATGCTGAATTCAGTAAAATCTAACAAATGGTTTGTGTTTTTTAATTTTACCTACTGCTGCTGCTGATACTCCAGGCTTCTCAACTGGAGTGTTAAATCAGGGAGTCCTGCTTCAGAATATGGGGTGAATATAATAATTCTGACAAAGCTGCATTACATCTTTTTAGACCAGCTCCTTGACCTATATTTTTAAAAGGCAGGATGAAGAGACCTGATTATTAATCAATAATATTTCTGATTATATTATTGCAGAAAAACTCACCCCTCCATTAAATGTCACTGTGAACTGTACAGAAGCTTCTCATCGTTGTGAAATTCGGTGGCAACCACCTCGTACAAGTCATGTGAAAAAACCTAGTTGTTTCAAATATGAAGTTGTCATAGAAAACAAGGTAAGAGTAATTATGACTGAATAATATTCTGTATGTTTGTATTTCCACACATCCTATCATACAACCAATACCCTGTTATCTTTCCCTACTTAACTAATCTCTCTTTTTTGATATGTAGCACCCTTCTTGCACATGAGCTGAGGACTGCTGTCACTCACAAATACGGGCAGCAAATTGAGAGAATGCTTTCAGTCCACTGTACAGCTGGTCCTTAAAGAAACTGGGCAAGGGATCCCCACACTGAGGGCAAATTTCTACTCTAGCACATGTAGGTGGATGGACAATATTACCTGATGACTTCATTATGAACAGTTATAGGATACATCAAATGAACTCTAAACACACTACAAAAATGCAAAGCTACTGTTAAAGTAGATACAACCAATTGTATGTGTCTCTGTAAGGTAGTTTGGGTCCCATTGCAGTCTTCCAGCCCTACTGCTGTTTTCTGATGAAGTTAGGTCAGGACCTTCTGTTCTGTGGTTTTCCTCTCTGCAGTCTCCTATCCCCTCAATCACTTTTTATCATGTCTTTCACAAACCTGCTTTGCATTTGTTCCTGCTTCTTGTAGTCATCATTACTGCTCAGTCAGGTTTATGATATTACTAAATTAGGCCCAAAGAAGTAACACATCCTTTATTACAAAGGCACACCTGTAAGTTAGGATGTGCTGCAAGAGCTCTTAAGCATCTCCACCTGGACCTCCTTTGTGTATCCAGCCTTGCCTTCTTTTCCTGTTGCCTCCATTTACTGATACCAGGTGTTGCAGAAGGAGTTTAGGTTTACCTAAGGTAGGTCTGCAGCATGACAATCAAGATGGTTGCACCACAGCTGTCACAATCAGATGTAAGGGGCAGTAATATATCATCTGTTCATTATGGGGTTTTATTAAGTTTTGTGTCTTTTTTTTTTTTACTTAAAGTGGAAAGAGCCATCCATGTCTTTGAATAAAAAGAAATATTCTGTCAGGTTATTGGAACAGAATACCCAGGTTTTCCAGGTTGTGACTGTATATGGTTGTTATTATACATTTCAGTAATTGCAAGTATTTTGAAGACTTAGATGAATATGGAAAGTAGTATTACATCCATTAAAACCAAATTTTGAAATATTTGAGGAAATATTTGTGAGACATGGAGAGATAATGCAGCTAAATTAAATGTTTAAGAATGCAAAAGCTACACTGACAAAAGTTTTAATGGAAGAAACATTGTCCAAGTTCACTAGTATCTTTTTAGATACTTTGTTTTGTACAGGTAAAACATAAAATTTTAATTGGTGGGCAACGTGAGCCTTTTTTTGTTTAGTTCTCTGATACTCAGTTCTGCAATCAAATGTAAAGGGTACAGTATTTCAGAGCACCAGTGGTGGGGAAAAATCTTTCAGTGGAAGAACAGCTTAACTTCAGTCTTTAAAAGAAGGCATTTAAATGTACTTTTTTTTTCAAGTCCCATTGTTTAGCAGAGGCTAAGGAGCCAGGGAAGCATACTGCAAATTTCATCTTCACATCACCGAAAACAAAAATGTTCAAACAAAAGGAATTAGGATGGAACAAGCTAATTTATTAAGGGATAATTTTCTATTTGTTATTTCACTCTAGTGTGTTCACAGAAGTATATGTAAAATTTTCTTTTGTAATTGTTTGCATCATTAAATGAACCTGACACATTCTTAACATCTGTACATCTAGTGAATAAAAAGTTCTCAGTCTAGTTTTTTTGTATATAGGGAAGAAACATCACAGGAAACTCCTACATATTTGAAAGCTTCAGCACAAAAAAGAGGTACAGCGTCAAAATCAGAGCAACTGACAATGATTGTTTAGTGAGCCAAAGCTGGGGAGAGTGGAGTACACCTGTAGAGTTTGGTAAGAATGAAAATCACTTCCTTGAACTGGTTTTCCCTCCATTACTTGTCTGCCTCATTTATTACTTCATATGTACAGATGGAAACACATTGATATTTGCACATTAATTTGCTACTATGAGCAAAGAATTGGCATATCTCTTAATATGAGGAAGGTTCTGATGTGACAGTGGGTGCTTCTTGAAAGGAGACAGTGAATAAAGCAGACCTTTTTGAGGTCTGTTGCCAGCTCTTTTCCTTCTTCCATTTCTTTATAAACTTCTCTTTTCCCCTGTTACTCTCTGCCTTGGATTTTGAAGTATTCAGTACGTGTCAGTCCCTCACAAAATGCTTGGTAAGGTCTCAAGTTACCACAGACAGTCCACTTACTGTCAGCCATCCCGTTCCTTCACATGTTACAGGGCAATGAGATGCTAAGTTAAAAAAGAAGCCATTTCATACTGGTGCTTGACACTATTACGCAAAGCAGATTGCAGATAGCTGTGCAGTCATTCCTGTTCTGTGATATTAATCAACACTTGGATGAATGCTTGTCTTTCAGGAGAAGAACAACTTACATCTACTTCATCATATATGTTAATTTTGATACCAGTGCTGGCAGCAACTCTCATGCTTTTTATCTTCGCAGGGTAAGCCTTATTTCTTGTGCAAAATTTTTATTCTGTAGTTGACATAACACCTCTTTCCCCAACAGAAAATTTTTGGCCTCCTTTTAAAGGAGAGGAGGGAGGGGGAAAATCAACACTGAACTATAGCAGGAATCATGACCTGCTGGATGTTCCTCAAGTGGGCTCTATGTTGCTGATTCCCAAACTTCTTATCCACTTGTTCCATATAACACAATGCTTTCCAATACTGGGACAAGGCCTTACATCAGTGCCACTTTCCTGTCACCAGACCCTGCAATGTTGATGGGTGGTACATGAAATTGTTTCCTTGTTTTGAGGTTATTTCCCTTTCAGATACTTAAAAAGGCAACTTCCTATGATTCTTGAATAAGTCATAAAATAAATTATCATCCAAATTCTGAACAATGAAATTATACCATTGTATTCAGCCTATGTAATATGTAATTTTTAGTTACCCTTTCACTACTTTTGTCTTAGAGGAATAAAATAATACCTCAGGAGCATTATTATATAGTAAGTGTTCATATGTTTGCATACTAAGTCTTTTGTTCACCAACACTTTTTGTCACTGTAGAAGCATTTATTTGAAAAAAACATCTGCTACAGTACCACAGCCAAAAGACCCATTCCGTGAGCTCTCTCCAGTGGATTTCCAGGTATGTTTTCTTTCTATTTGTCTGAAATTTTTTGTAAATAAGGATCCACTGCAGTCTCAAAGGTATGACCTAAGTGTCAGAAAGATGCACAGAAGCAAGTATAAATTTTCTTTCTTTTTCTTGTTCTTGGGGTAATGAAAGAGAAGGTCTATATGCAAATAATTTTTCTGGTTTTCCTTTTCCATTCTGAAACAATTGTCATCTCTCTACCTGGAGCATTGGAGAAAATACACTATTTCACACTGCTCTCCCTAGATAGAATAGCCATATTCTATCACTAGAATAGCGCTGAGCCTAAGCTTCTCAGCACAATAATAATGCAGAATCAGACTGTTGATCAGCTATGGGAACCAAGGGACAATGAAATCTACTGCTGGCCAAAAATAGTTGTGCCATAGCAGATGTTGAGACCCATGTTAGTATTTGGCAATGATGCTGAAGGAGGAAAAGTTTCTAGGGTATGGTAAGCAAGAAAGTATAGCAGAGAGCTGAGAGGTTCTAGCTTATGTGGAGGGCTGGAGAGACTCATGAGAAGAAGAAGGAACAGGCAGATAGATATTGCAAGTAACAGAGGGGAACTGCCCATCTAGAGAGCATGTTGCAAAGTTTGCTGCAATTTGCAAGTTGCAAAGTCTTTAAGTTGGCCACAGCCAGGTCTGGAAGCAAGAATGTGTCTGCAAGGACACACTGGATCCCTGGTCAGCCTTTATAAATCCTTTTACTTTCTGTTCCTTTGTCATGTTAACTTTACAATGTTTAAAAAGATGAGCTTTCTGGCTTTTGAGTTGAAAAGTATTTTGTTCCTCTTTGGGGAGCTCATCATGGAGGGAAGATCTAGACATGTCTACTTCAGTCCTTTCATTGACAGAGTCCCACTACAGCTTCTATATAATAAATAACAACTCTCCGAATGAAGGAGATTCATAAATTGTAAACTCGTGGCTGATCTCATGCATGAAACACTAATGAAATGTTTTATTCTCCCTTTAATAGACAGAATATAAGAATCAACTAACAAAGCACGAAACTGAAGAAATAACTGTTATTGACTCATAGAATCATTTAGGTTGGAAAAGACCTTCAAGATCA